ATATATATATATGTGTAGATTTACCGAGCAACCAATTAAGTTTTCAAATTTATGCACTTTGGCGAGTTACTTGGAAAGAGGCGGCAAGCTACTGGTAGCTCGCGAGTAACATGTTTGAGACCCCTGGGTTAGAGTATTGCAGTGGTAGAGACCCTTCTGCCACCAGAAGATCCCTGGTTCCAAACTACCTAGTTCTGTATCTCAAGTGAGGTTACGTCAGGGAGTGCATGTGGCATTAAAAGTTCTACATCGCAATATGAGCTAATGGTGTGTTCAATAAATCTCTTTTTAAGGTATTGGACAAAGTAGAAAACAGGGAAAATAAAATAAAGAAAGTTTAAGAAATAGTAATACAACTTTTTCTTTCTCTGGCCGTACCTTTTTTTCCCTTTTTTACCAAAACTGATTTAAGATGCCTTAAAATTTCACTCCTACCCAAAGTTCTGTTCCGTCACAATATAACCTTGTGTTTAAAGAAAGTTTCAACTCAAAAGTATCTTGCTTTACTTTGCTCATTGTCATACATTGTGGGGCTGATGCCTCAAATTACCTTTTGAAATACAAACAACATTTTCACATGTCATTGACTTTTCTCGGTTTATCTTATGGGTTGTGCAAAAAACACCTCAAAAACTTTTATACTTTCTGTATCTGTATCAAATCTCATTCGTTTCTTTATAATAGTATAAAAAAGAGCAACTACAAAAATAAAACCAGAGAAACCTTGGTCAACATGGCTAGAGATAAAATTATTTTCATCTAAACTTTAACCCTGAATTTTACTGATGTCTGCCTGAGATTTTGATGCAGTCTACCATAGAGATATGTCCTCCGAAGCATGTACAAAACTATCGACCAACTCATTACATCACTTAACATGTCACGACAATCTTTACAAGTCTCTGCAGAGGCAAGATTTAGTGTGCCTGAGTTTCACCTTGAAAAGTGATGTATTTATGCTGTAGAACCATCAGGTTTTCTGACTGTCTGTGATTGACTGAACACGCGTCTCAGTAACACAGTGAGACGTGTTCAGATGTGCCACGGCGCTACACTCGCACCATGAAATATCAAGATTGATTTTAGAAAATATACCATCTTTATTCTGTAGAAATCAAAGTCAAATATCACAAATTGAGGCCAATGTGTTGTCAGAAAGGTGGAGCTACAGCTATAGA